GCCTCAACATTATACCAGCATCACAAGGCATTCCTGTGTATTTTAGCATACATACCCATCCACATTGGCGTTGGCGGAGATTCTACTGGCTTTTTTTTCTCTGCACATGTTGTCACGGCCGTATCAAGATATCCAGTGCGCCGAAGATACCGCAAAAGCCCCCCATGATTTGGGCATTCATTTTCCTTTCTCCTACTGTATACACTTTGTATCTATCTATCATGCCTGGCGGGGCGGGGCGGGGGAATCGAGGGGCAGTTTAGCTTGTCATACCACCCTAGGTAGCTGTTGTTATCAACTGGCTGTGAACCTTGCTTTTTTTGCCATTGCGCCTCCGATTTGCATACGTTAATTGCTTTGCGTGGGGTGAAAGAGGTGTCACGCGATGTGTATGTCTATCTACATGGTGTGGTTCTACTTGGCATTATTGGCCATGTGCTGTTGATCGCCGCCGGCATGAATGTAGGGGAAAGAAAAGAAAAGAGGGACTCGGGCGATCCGGAGCATGCCGGTCGTAGGTACATGTACTGTACATACATGTGGAGGAGAGAAACGGACATTTTCGGTGGTGGGGTTTCTCTGCTCTGCTGCAGGGGATCGATGCCCTGCGGAACATTGTCGGTATCTAGAGACGGGAGCCCACCGACGGACGGGAGGCGGAGGCGGAGCGGGGCCACGTCCTGATTGGGAAAGTCGTTCACGTTCGTTCAGAGGGCACGGTTCCTCCATGGCTTGGGCTTTGCTTTGCTGTGCTGTGTGGTCTCCACTTGTCTGTGTTACGTATCAACTACCAAGGTTTTTTTTTTTTTTTTAAAAAAAAAAAAAAAAAAAAAAAAAAAAAAAAGTGTGGTGTGGTGTAGGAATACATATGAAGTGAATTGGAAGCTTGTGAGTACTGTGTAGTGGTTGTGAGTGTCGGTGTTTATGTCGGTGTTAGTGCTGGCGGTTTTGGGTCAATGTGTGTTGTTGTTGAGTGTCGGTGTTAGAGTATGCCGTTTTAGGTGCGTGTTTGTCTGTGTGTGTGTTTGTGTGTGTGTGATGTGAGATGTGAGTTGTGAGTGGACGAGATTTCGAGGGTGAATGTCCGTGGTTGTGTCGGTTCGGTGTTCCGTTTTGGCTAGCTAGCTAACTACCTTGCCTTGCCTTGCCTTGCCTTGGTTCTGCACGATTCGCAGAGTTGCGCTTGGTATGCAGCAAGGGAGCTATCCGTAAGGGAGTTAGTTGCCCTACCTTGCCTTGGCAGGTGGTTGGCTCGGAGGTTTCAGATACACTTCTCCATCTCCATCTGTCGTTTCACTGGCCCGGCCGGTGGTGTTCACTCTCTTGAATCTATCTCGAATTTCTTTTCTGCTGTTGTGTTGATAATATATACGAAGGGTGATGCAATTTTTTTAATTTTTTTGCCACCGCCAACCACCGCCACCACCACCAACCCAATCTCGATGCCTAATAGCGGGGCGGGAGGAAACTAGTTGAAGTGAGGTTAAGGGGTCGCTGTTCGTCTTATTGCAGTGCTGATTAGGTAGATTAGATTTGGGTTGTAGTACTAAGTTGGGGTTTTTGTGGCTCCCCTTCTTCTCTTTTCTTCTTTTTTCCTTCTGTCGGCAGGCTGTAAGCGCGCCCCCTATCTCCCGGTCGGTTGATTGAGGCTGAGCTTTTTTCCAACTCCAACCGTTCGGGGCTACAACAGATCTCGACTTTACTTAAACTCGGTCCCCTCAGAAAATGATAAAGAGACCGATATGGTGGTGCTGCAGCAGGTTGCAGGGAGTAAAAATACATCTATCTTTCATTTATTTCTCATTTTATTTTATCTTCCTGACATAGGCCGTTTGTTGACACCTACCAAGTTCGCAGGTAGTTACACTATCCGCACGTGCTCTCCTCCTCTGCACGTAACCAATCGCGGGCCCCATTGCCCTCCGCGTATAGCTTTTCTCGTGTCATCAAGTTAGGAATGGAATGTTTGTCCTTCTATCCGCGGGGCGGGTTCTTCCTTGTGTCACCGGGGAGTGGGGCCGGAGTTTGACCAGACCCGAACAGCGGGCGCCTGGTCGTAAGCTGTCGTTGTTGTCGAGCACAGCCAGCCACTACACTGACGTGAGGCAAGGCAAGGCAAGGCAGCCCCCCCGCTTATGGTGTCTGCATGTCCTGTCCTGCGGATGGGATGGGGGTTATTGAGTGGGCGGGCGGACATAACGGAGAGAGTATATAGAGACCGACTGGGAAACTCTGGTACTTGCAAAACACCTGGCGAGTACATCCACAGCCTGTGCCAGGCAGACAGACTCTGGATGGCATATGACAAAAGTTGGACGAGTGATTGCTTGGATCAGCTCCGTTGCCTTGCCTTGCCTTTTCTTGAGTAACCCTCCCCCCTTAATTACGGAGGCACCGAGGCACCGAGGATCCGCGGGACGGAGCTCGGAGGACGTGCCCGGGGCGGGGCTGCCCAACTGGGTAGGTAGATATAGAGGAAACTCTACAGCCACTGCCGATCTTTCGCTGTATACTGTTGCCCTTGTTATTTCTATTGCCGCTGAGCTAGACTAGGTCGATGCATGCTAGTGCTCGAAAACGGACCGATTCGGGGCTGGACGTTTGTGGCGTTTTGCTTTGGTCGTTTCTTTTGGTCTGATAATATTTTCTGGTCTCTTCTTGCGGTTTGGCTCGGGTTAGTTGTTTCGTCTCTATACGCGCGTGTGCCTAGAGGTGTGTGTATGCGATGTGTGTGTGTGTGTGTGTGTGAAGTAAATGGGTTCGAGAAAAGAGTGTGTGTGCAAGTCAGTTGACGAGTCTCTTCACACCCACTCTCCAGCACCCAACAGCCTCTCTGCTTCATAGTGAGACGCGAGTTACTCTAGAGGGTGTTCCGTTTAGAAAAAAATGCGCACGGCTCGTCGGTGGTGTGCCGTGTTTGCCTGCTGTGCGTGCGTGGTCCAAAGTGTATGCCGAGGCTTGCGGCGAAGCACGGAGCGGCGGCGCAGCTCGTCATACGGCCGCGGACACGGCTCGGAGATGTCTGTACGAGTTGCCGAGTCGATCCTGAGCTCGGGCTTGGCGTGTCGTCATCCTAAAAGGTTTCTCTCTCTAGGGGAATAGTATCACCGAGCTGGTGGTGTGGTGCCTGTTTGCCTGTTACCTGCCAGCTTACAACTTCTAGGCACCTCTGGCAGCTTGTTACACAGTTACACGAGCACACGTGCCGCAGAGCGATCCTTCGCCATGCCGTCGCCCAATCGAAGCACCTTACAAGGCGGAAAGCGATTCGTCCTATCGTCCATCAGACGAGGTGCTTATCTGGAGTTGCCGGTTGATATATGTGCCTTTGCGGCGTTGATGTCTCGAAGCTCTCCACGGCGGCCACCTGGCTCTTTCTACTGGTCTGCGGGTTGACGCACATGCACGTAGAGGTTGATTCAGTCAGAGCGGGAGGGTGGGTAAGGACAACTATTTCAACTCTGCAACCGGAAAGGCTGTGGTCCGTCATCTGGGGCGGGAACAACACCCTAAGTGGCTTCTCAGGGGAGGCCGGGCACATGTGCTACAGATAGGATCCGGGCTCTTCCACTCCTAGCTTCGCATCCTGCAGGCGATTGACTGTGACGTGATGCTGCGCCGCCTTCTGTGCCCCTACCCAGCCGGAGAGAGAGGTGCGGTCTTTGGAGACTTTGAGCGCTGACGCAATATTGTTGCCAGAATCCGGGGAACATCTGACACGCAGGATGCCGGTGCGCTTATTGCTCCGTATCATATATGATATCTGCATTGAGTTAATGTTAAAATAATTACTGTGTAATGGTTACCTAGCCATGGCCCGTCATGACAAACCGAACCGTCGATGGAGTGCACTTTTGCACTTTTACAACTCTGTTGACTCGTTGAGCTCAGACAATATCCCTTTGCGCTGTTTCAAACGACAATCTACAAGCCAGGATGCTCGGCTGGCTTCCGGAATCCATATGCCGGACTATATAAGCGGGCGCATTGACGGATCTGCTGCTGTTGCCCCTTTTGGCCCTCGTTACTCCTGGTCTGGAGTGCGTGATCCGTTGCACAGCAGGTACATTATCACAATCACGTATGGACAGGAACGGAAACAGTGAGAGAGGGAAGATGGGGCCCGAGAGGGGGGGGGTGCCGGCGATCCTCTGGACATCAAACACCAAACAACTGACGTGTGTGCGCACCAACCCCCTGAGTCTGAGCCAGCACCTTCCCGGCAAAGTCGACGGCAGTCGGGCGTCACGCCACCGTGGCGAGAGGCATGTTTTTATATCTCGAGCAATTGCCTGCCAGTTGATGGGTCAGTAAGCGCGGCATGAATGATCACCGTTGCCGCCGTCCAGGGCAGCTGTGGTTGAGCTGGCTAAGATGGGAAGCGTTCATGCAATGCCGATGAAGAGAGCTGGCCGTACGATAATGTGGCTTCATGGAAGAAAACCGGTCGACTCTTCTACGCAGTAGTTGTCGATCTTAGTCGTAGCAGAATATTACTTCTTAGCCAAGTCACCCGACTCCTCTCTCTAACCGCCAGCAAGACTATGCAAGAAGATACCTGCCCATTAATTCCTCCTCACCTGACGCTCAATATTAGCCAGATACTAAGGGTTTACTATGGGATGCTATATGCTTGCCTTGAGGGAAACTACGAGTATTGAGCTTCCGCCTTCTACCTATTTTGAGTCTCTAACGTTGTTACCTTTAACGTCTCTTATATACGCTGAGTGCTATTACAACTAGGTAACTACCTGCAATTCGTCCTATGTGGGGAAAGTTACAAAATTCCAGTTTCATCTTCTCAAATGACTCTTAACTAGAGAAAAGGTTAATATCTTAGATAGACCTCTTGAGCTTCGGAAAGTTGAACCCATATGGTCTTAGACTCTTGTCCTTCATCGTGCCTTCTCTCCAACCCAGGGTTAGGGTCACGGCCCTTCATTTCTGCCTCTACCCACTAGTCATAAGTCCACCTGAGCCTCGGACTTAACATTAAAGCGGGCTGGGTGGCCGAGCGGTCTAAGGCGGTAGACTCAAGAAATCCCACTTTCTTCCTTGCAGTGATGCGAGGTGATTTCTACTCTCGAAAGAGGCGCGCGTTCGAATCGCGCCCCAGTCAAACTTTCTTTTTTGCTCTGTCCTGGTCTGTCTTGACAGACGAGGTCGATGGACATGTGCATTCCCGGTTCACGTTCATGCTGATAGCTTTTTGCCACGGACACCCGCACACACGGATGCCGGCAGGCGACGGGCGACGCGCATCGAGGCGATTCGGGCGTCGCAGACTCGCAGCCGAGGCGCACTGCCAACTCACCGCTCCGTGTCTCACTCAGTTAGCCCTTTCCTTCGGAATGTCGTCCGGGCTGCGGCTGCTGCATGCGGTGGAGACGGTTGGCTTGAACGAGGATAGCCGGGTCATGACGTAGTAAATAAATGCCTACTACCTAGGCCTACACGGTAGTGAAGGCAAGGGCGACCGGTGCGCTGTGACCCTCTGCATTCCTCGGTGGTCACGAGAGAGCACTGCTGGTAATGCACCAAGGTAAGGTACGGAGTAAAGGCAAAGTAATCCTCACGTTTGATTGCAAGAGCCGGATCCAGGGCGGCAGAGACGAGTGAGCATTGGCAAAATTGACATTTCAGCTTGTCAAGCGAATTGGGTTCGTGCCCTGTCCCAGTCTCCCGCCGATCGCCAGCGCTTCCTTTTTTGAGCCTGTGAGACAAGTAAACGTCAATCAGACCCTCCCCCCCAAAACTGAAAGAAACGGAAAGCAAAATGGCGATAGCTTCATCCACCACCAACCCCGCCGCGGGCGCGACACCGGCTGCACCAAGCACAAGCACCGACCAGCAATCGCAGACAACTCCCGACCTCAGCAAGGAATATGACACGCCACTCGGGCTCGCGCACACCACAATGCAGGCCCTCAAGGACCGCATCAAGCTGCACTACGACCTCGCTAGCGACTATTACCTGAACCTCTGGTACCGCGGCCCTCTCTTTTGTGTCTATCTGTCGGTTGTCTGGACTTTTGCTGATGTGACGCGCGCGAGGGAAAAAGGGGCGAGCACATCCACCACGGGTATTGGCCGACGGACGAGTCCAAGGCCACCGACTCCAAGGAGGTTGCCCAGCTGGCCCTCATCAAGCTGCTGCTCGACGTGTCGCGCGTCGCCGACGGCAGCCGCGTGCTCGACGTCGGCTGCGGCGTCGGCGGCACCTCGCGCTACCTCGCCGCCGAGCTGGGCTGCGCCGTCACCGGCATCACCATCTCGTCCAAGCAGGTCCAGATCGCCACCCGCCTGACTAAGGCCGCTGCGTCTGCGTCTGCGTCTGCGTCTGCGTCCTCGCCACAGCAGTCGGCGGCGTCAGCGCAACCCCCGGCCGCAGACGCTGCCGCTGCCGACGCCGACGGCTTTATCCGCCTCGGCAAGGGCCGCGTGCGCTTCGTCGAGCTTGACGCCGAGAGCATGGGCGACTACTTTGCCGCGTCCTCGGAGAGCTTCGACGCCGTGTGGATCAGCGAGGCGCTGTCGCACTTCCCCAACAAGGCGCTCTTCTTCCGCAACGCCCACCGGCTGCTCAAGGCTGGCGGCAAGCTTGTGCTTGCTGACTGGTTCAAGGCCGACGGCCTGGGCCACGCCGAGTTCGACGCCGACATCAAGCCGATCGAGGGTATGCATATGCAGCGGGTCCCGCCTTTCTTTCAATGCCTAGGGTAGATGAGACAGCCGAAGACGCTGACAAGGGATCAACAATATAGACGGCATGCTCCTCCCGCCCCTGTGCATGCAGCACGACTACGTGCGGCTCGCCGAGGAGGCCAGGTTCGAGGTCCTGGCCGGCGGGCCCAAGGACATCAGCCAGGACGTGAGCAAGACATGGTGAGTCCTGTTCTTCTCTTGTCATTCATATTTCACGCGCACGCAGATATAACTGACAACCCCAACTCCGCAGGGACATCTCGTGGGCGCTCGTGCAGAACCCCGCGCTGTGGGCGTTTGCCTTTTCGCAAGGTCGCGACGGTATTGCCTTCCTGCAGGCCTTCCGCGCCATGCGCCGCGGCTATGCCAACGGCAGCTTCCGGTATGCCGTCATGGCGTTTGAGAAGAAGTGAGCGGCTGGCTACTTTGCCTGTTCTGTTTGGATAGACCTCTAGACGCCGTGTATGGATAGATAGGTATATACCTAGACACAGACAACACAAAATATAGCGCAGCTCTTTTCAGTTGATGACGATGCTGGTGTTGATGGTGGCGATCCTTGTTTTTTCAGAGTGAGTTTAGACGGCGGAAGTGAGGCAGGCTGAGCTGATTGGAATGAGAATGAGTCGAGAGATCATCAGCACTAACTACCTAGCTTGACTAGCTGGTCGGAAAGCCGAGAACCAATTAACTGGATGGATGGATCAACTTTTGCTTACTGACCAACTGACCGACTGACTGACTGACGCGTCCGAGACAAAAACTCTGTTTGCTGATTATGGCGATCCTCAAGATGACGACGATGATGATGATGGATGGATGGGTGGATGAATCCTCATCCGCGGCAGCGCCTCGATGCCAGCCAGGCAAGATGCCTTACCTTACCTTGCGTTTACCTTACCTAGGTGTAGATCGGTGTAAGTCGATGTGTGTGTCTACGGAATGAAATGGAGCAGAGCCCGCCGTCATCTGATTCGTGCGTTTGCGGGACGCGACACACTTCCTTCCTTCCCAAGTCTGAGTGAAGCCGAAGCCAAGAAAAACGAGGATCAGCTTCCCCGCTGTTTTTTCGGTGATGTTGTCTCTGAGAACAGTGGCGGTGGTCGATTTATGCCCCGAATAGGCAGTCTTGTGTTCCATATCCGATGGCGATGTGGTGGTGGACGAGTGTAAGCCACATACCGTCTCTCTCTCTTGAGGTTTGGCACTGTGGATTTTCAGTTCTCACTCAAAAGGCTGACAATTATGTTTTAGGAGAGAGGATTACTAACAACTGTCAATTACGTTTAAGTGTCGACATTGCAGCTCGTGTTGCGGATGGCTCGGGCGAGAGAGAGACTAAGCGAGTTATCTCTAACCCCAAGTTTTGTTTCTTGTCTACGAAGAACGCTGTTGGGAGACGGTGAGCGGTGCGGGTGACCGCCGTGGCTGAAATAATACGAGAGGAGATGCGACGATCAACTGGCTCTTTGGTGTGTTGCTATTTGCTGGCTGTTTTTGTGTTCGCAGGCTTGGGCTTACTTGCCATGTGAGCGTGCGTGCGTATGGGGATGTGGGATCCAGACGGATGAATGGATCCTGTCTTGCGTTGAGCCACAGGCGCAGGCGCAGGCGCAGGCGCAGGCAGGCCATGTTGCCAACGGCTTCTTTGGGGCTTCTCTTTTAGTCCCACTTGTCTGGAATTTAGAGAGATACATGGTGGCCATTTTGGCAATCTGTGAGTCTGTTGCATCTAGTCCTAACAGTTGCAGGTTTCTATTCCAAGTCGCCCCCCTTTTTTAATGTTGCCCCTTTTGGCTTACACACCATATTCGACTGCTGTACTCGACTCTGCTCGCCGGTACAGCCTCGAGCGAATACAGAAATACATCGACAGCAGACTCGCGCTGGCCATTGCGGGTAAAGTCGGGTGCCACGGTAGTATCCATTATGTTTTCTGTAGTCTTGCAGCTGCTGCGACTCCGAGTCCGCATCGAGACTTGTCCCGTCTCGAGACTCGCCCAGGTAGGTATCTGCTACCTCGCAGCTATTATTAGTGGGCAGAGCATCATGCTATTAGCCAGTGACCGGGGAGCCACGGGCCGTAGGCACTCCCTCAATAATATTTTTTTTTTGTAGAGTTGGCGAGGCAGCGTATTTACCCGCGGGCGTAACCGTTTCTTTGGGCTGGCTGTGTGCAACACCAAGACAACAGCCGTCAGCAGCATCATCAGCCCTGCGGGATTCCAACAGCGAACTGCCGTATAGCTGCCCATACGAAGAAATGCGACGCTGACGTGTGGCCGGAGACAGCAGCTGCCCGGGCTGAGCTGTTGGTGAATATACGGAATGAGACACTGCTCGCCGGTTCCGCCATCTCACCGTCACGTTGTCTAGCTACGTTGCCTGGCTAGGAGCGGTGCTTGGCCTTGGGTCCGTCTCCTTCGCCTCCTCGGCTGGGCCGGGTGGTGAGATGAATGCCAGCCGAAGAGACTGATAGATATATAAACACCGGCTCGCAGCTGGCTCTCCTTGCCTTCTCTCCATCTCATCTCGAACCAGTTGACATCTCACTCACACAAACAAGCAACCAACAACAAAATAAAAACAAAACAACCGGCTCAACCTCACAACAAAACAAAACAAAACAAAACAACTCAACTAACATGCATTTCACCACCCTGCTCGTCACGGCCCTCGCCTCGACCCTCGCCGCAGCAGCACCTACCACTCCTTCCAACACCAAACGCGCCTGCACACAGATCTTCCCAGCAGGCGTCACGGCAATCCACCTCGCCAAGAACGCCGCCATCAACATCCAGCAGGACTTGGCCTTTTCCGTGCCAGCGGGCGCGGGCGGGCCGTGCAGCCTAGTGGCGACGTTCCCGGCAGGGTTTCCCATCGCGAACTCGGGGCAGGCGCTGGTCGACGTGGTGGCCGTCGACGGGCCGGCGCCCGGTGCGCTCATCGGGTCCATCACCTTCGCCAGCGACCCGACGGCCCCGACGTTTCGTACGATCAACTCGTTCGCCTGCCGCCCCAACATACTGTTACGCCTGCGCATCTCGGGCGCCCAAGGCGCGGTTGATTTTGCGGAGGGTAATGGTGCGGGCGTAGCGCTGACTTATAGCTGCTGAGCTGAGATGTGGTGGTGGGTGTGCGTGCCTCTCTCTCCCTTGGGTTATGGCATGGGACGGTTGGGGGTAGGGATAGGCAGGAGTTTGGGTTTGCGGTTTGGTCGTGCGCTAAAGGGGGCGGATAGGGGCATCAATCTTTTTTTGGAGGGAATTTATTGGGTTAACTACCTAGGTACTGGGAATTGTCATTTACGAGTTTGCGCGTTTCTGTTCAATACGACTTGTTTCCCTGACCAAAACATCAAGTCTTTCAGCCTCGTATTCACAGTGTGTCTGTAGAGTGACAAAGTCAAACTGC